CTTTTGGTCTTATAACGTAAATAAATATTTTAGTTATAAATACGATATTAAATAAGTTCCAAACTTAATACAAATTTGTATTGTATAGCAAAAGCTAAATAACATCTGATCGGTGCGATATCTTTTTTAAAAACCATTTTAATTTACCATTATTAAATGAAAAACCAATACGGCATACAGTACGCAATCATGGTCTATATTTATACGCTGGGCTGACGGCCTATGCGTGGATTTGGTGTTTATAGAAGTATACCAAGTTGAACTTTTAGTTTACCTTTGTTTAAATAATTGCGTTATGTTTAAATCTTTAGCGTAAACAATAATGGCAAGTGAAAGATTTAGTGTCACAAGTGCAAGTCACTGTTGTGTATATGTGAACTGTAAAAATTCAAGGAAAAATTCTCCACAGTTAAGTTTTTTTAAATTTCCTGTGAAAGATGCTTCTCGATGTCAACTCAATGGATTATAAATTGTGGTAATGTGTTATTGCTTGACATGGATGATGACGCTCTTAAAAACAAAATATTGTGTGAAAATCATTTTCTGGCATCCTGCATTCGAAGTGGTGGGGGTAAAAAACATTTACATATCTTTGCTGTGCCCCTTAAATATGACGTTAAGACAGGAGATATTGTTTTAAATGGTAAGGAATATTTTTCTTTTCTCTCAAACAGTAATCTATAACAAACCATAGGTAACGAGCTCGACATTGATGGGTTAATCGAAGACGTTTCAAACCTTGTAGTTAAAAAATCTATCAGTGATAAAACGTACGCTGCCGCTAGTTCAAACAATTTACATTTTACGGGACAAGATTTACTAGAAACTCGTCATAATGATTCTGTTCACCTTTCTAGTTCGACTATTCTCGATGACATCATAGGTATGCCCATTGTCCAACACGTAAATCAAAATCAAGAGCAAAATTTACTTGGTTTAAAACAAAAAATTCGAAAATTAAGTAGTGCTTTGAAAAATACGAAACTAACAAATACCCGACTTCGAAAGAGGCTCTCATTTTCTATTAGTAACTCCCAATCTCAATTAAAAAACAAATCTACCGAAGTACAGACGTTTGTACAAATGCAATTATATCACCGTAAAAGGACCAGTTGGACCCCATCAGAAAAACGTTTAGCTTTATCGTTTTACTACAAATCGCCCAGTAACTATAAATTTATGCTCGATTTGGGTTTTGTATTGCCAAGTGTATCCACGATAAGAACTTGGTTAAAACTTAACAATTTAAAGACTGGAGAAAATAACAATCTAATTGAGAAACTAAACGCCAAAGTAAAGCAAATGACGAACACGGAAAAACAATGCATGGTTTTATATGATGAAATTGCTTTAAAAAAAGGATTAAATTACAACCACTATCACGATTTTATTGAAGATTTTCAAGATTATGGTGATTTGGGAAGAAGAGAAGTATTAGCTAATCAAGCGTTGTTATTTTTTGTGAGGGGGTTATTTTGTAATTGGAAGATGCCTTTTTCTTATTACGTATCGTCAGGTCCAGTTAAGGGAGAAGTAATAAGTACTTTGTTGCAGAAAGTTTTGCAAAAATTGCAAGATATTGGATTGGTTCCAAGGATGGTCGTTTGTGACCAAGGAAGCAACAACCGAAAAGCGCTGGCATCCCTGGGAGCTTCAAAAGATAACGTTAAAATTTTTATAAATGGAATGGAGATATATACATGTTTTGATACACCCCATTTAATTAAAAGCTTGAGGAACAATTTTATGAATACAAAATTAAAAATTGTCGTAGACGGTAATGAAGTATCTTGGCACGATTTTGTCGATACTTATAAAATCGATCATAAAAGCAATGTAACGAGAGCAATGCTAAAAATTACAGATACGCACGTAAATCCAACAACCTTTCAAAAAATGAAAGTGAAGTATGCCGTGCAGGTGTTTAGCCACTCGGTAGCAGCTGCAATTGCAACATGTGCCGAAACTGGAGAGGTTCGATCAAGAACTGCAAAGAATACGGCTTCATTTTTAAAATACATCAACGACACATTTGACTGCTTGAATAGTCGGGTTGTTAAAGCAGCAAATCCGTATAATTGCGGATTATCAACTTACAACACCTTCACAACAACAAGGTTAGCCGAAGCATTGCAGTACTTCCAAAAAATTGAAATTTTTGAAAACGGGCGGACGAGAAACAACATTTACTGTATAGAAGGGTTTCAGTGGACCATTAGAGCAATTCTGGGTTTGTGGGACTCCCTTGTAAAAGACGACTACAAATACATGCTGACGTCACGAATCAATCAAGATCCATTAGAAAACTTTTTTTCAGTGATAAGAAATAGAAATGGCTACAATGCTCAACCAACTGTAAAGCAGTTTCGTATAGCTTTACAACACAACATGCATATTCGTCTACAAGCCCCAGTGGACGGAGCAAATTGTGAAGTAGATGCAGACGACATCTTGGAATTGTATGACAACCACGACCATCCAAATAATTCTACTAGCAAAGATTATCAAAGGGAGGTATACACTAGTTGTAATGACAATGATTTAGAAGTGAATACGATTGCGATCAAGACGACGACGAACAAAGAGCGGTAGAGGTAACTCATTTGGAAAGTACGAGAAAAACCGGCGTAACATTAGAAGATTGTACAAATGTGTATGTAGCTGGTTACCTATATTTTAAGCTATCAAAGAAATTCGATTGTAAAAAATGCAAAAATGCATTTTTAGATGAAAGTGAATGCCTTGACGATAAATCTCAATTATTATTATTGAACAAAAATTATGGATCCACGCATACTATAAACTATTTAACCAAACCAAATAAGTACTTTGCAGAAATTGTGACATTTATGCTACACAGCTTCAACACTTTATTTGAAAAGCATAAACTCAAATACGATGTTAAGAAAATTATCAAAAACTCTCTAGTGCTTAAAATAAAACAAAAATATGATACATGGTTTAATAAGCAATGTGAAGATCATCAGCTGTTTATTGTGGACAATTTAATCAAAATTAAATTGTATAGGTCAATTTCATGGGAAACAGGATCGACAAAACGTCGTAGTACGGCGCCGGCGGAGGGTTGTAAACCTCACCGTAAAGTAAAAATTTTACAAAATTAATTTACTTTTGTAATGTTTTAGCGATTGGTTCAATTCGATGAAATTGTACATGAAACATTTTTTGTAAAATTTTATTTGTTGCAAATTTCATTCAAGGCTTTTTGAGTAGTTTTAATTGAATTAATTTGTCTATTTTATATTAAAAACATTTCACATTTAAAAATAAAAGGCAAGTCTATCAGCAAAACATACATCTACAAAAAAATGATACAAATTATTTATTTTACTCATTTAAGCAGATCGGAATAGCCGATAGGCGAAAGCATTAATTTATATCGTTTTTTAAATTTTTTAAAGTCAATGTTTTGATCACGAAGGGGTATATATTATAATTTATATAATATGTAAATTTGGTTGTTTTTGTTTTCTATTTTATTTAACAGTACTTGCGTACAAGATTGTACAACGGCACGCGAGGTAAGCGCGGTGTTCTGCACACGTTACAATAGCGCGCGGCGTGCGGGCAGAGCGGTCACGTACAAAATTATTTACAAGAAAACGGTAATACATATCTAAGTAATTTTTTCACAAAAAACTATTTGTGACTATTGGCCACATTTACATACACATTCTTTCAATAATAAAAAAGTTTCTCGCTTAATAAAATTTATGCCACGCATAAAGCAATTCCACGACTTTGTTTATTGTTTTGGCTATGTTAATAGTTTTTATTTACTATAAATTATACATCATTAGAAGCGCTCATTAATTATCTTTCAGAAACTGAAAGAATAACCTCGATAACTTATGTGGTCACTGAGATATGGCGATGTGAAGCTAAAAAAACGCGAATTTTTGAAACTCTATTTTTTCTTGTTTTTTGTAAATAAAAAATGTCATGACCACAGCAAAATGACGTGAATGGCCATTTCCGATGAGGAATTATAACACCTACAAAACGTAGTACGGCTCATGTAGTTATACCTCAAAAAAATTTTTGGTACATTTTTTTGTCCGATCTCGCGGACTATACGGCAATTTTAACTGAATACGGGCCGCCCGTCGATGTTGAAATCTTATACGCGATATCTGCTTTTTCAGTTGTGTTTGCATGAGAGCTGTAAACGTCGCTAGCGTACAGGTTCGTTACTTTTGACGAGAGGGGAGAAACGAGGAGGAAGCGTACGCTCACGATTTCACATTGCGGTTGTCTATCTTCCTCGTTATATGTTAATCAATGGTAATACTGAAAAGAAAGATAATCCAATTAAAGACAGTAAGCTAATGTGTAAAGAAAGCAATAGATGAAACGACTACTAAAGAAAAATAATAATGTACTTTAATTTTGTGTATTATTTTTTCCTATAATATATTTTTTCTATTTATGTTGCAACTCTTAAAAATCGAAAAAAAACTGGAACCGGTACCGGTACCTGAGCCCTTAAAAATCATTCTACCTGAGTAGTGCGGAACCGGAACTTATAATTCCTACACCATCTGAATCTTTAAACTGCCAATACATCGATTACGGTGCCGGGTTCTTCACCATTCCTGGTGGCCTACTACACAAAAACGCTTAAATATCGCGAAAACCCCTCGTAACACCACTCCTAAGCTACCCCTCGAGGTCCCCCTCCCTGGTGTAAGATTACTATTGCTTAAAATCGTCATAATAGAGAAAAAAAATTGGAATTCAAAATCTTTTCAATCCAACACTCTTCACCCTTAAAACTCCAGCGCTAAGGTTACGGCTGGATTGCTGTTGTTTATAGTCGCGTTTACGTCACACAGTGCCCTTTGCAGTAGGGTTATTCTTCCCCGCCCCTACACGGGTATATTTACACAAAATCGAAAAATTGTAAGACCATAATGGAACGTACCGTTACAACAGAAATAACCCCCTGTAAAAGAATTTACAAAACAGCGATTTAGTGCTAGCAATGGTTTATTGAGTACTTACGAGGATTAGCGAGTTCTAACGTGTAACATACAATTGGGGGAAATTTAAATCATTCGGGCAAACCCAAAGTTAACTAGAAGAAGGACTATTGATTAAATTGTTGATGAGATTTTTAATCATTTTTTTCTAAAATCCTCACGATGCACATAACATAACCTAAAAAACAGCGTGTGGGTTTTACGCTGTGGAGTTTAACTGAGAAAGGTGGTCAAATGTAAGGCCGCGAATTTCCTTAACGTTGAGGTTTATATCAAAATTTCGTTCTAAGGACTCCTTAATCTCGGAACCCATTAATGAATCCATTCCAAGATCTGAGAGCGTTGCTGTTGGTGCTACCGTTTTTAAATCTTTAATGCCCATTATTTTTGCCACTACGTCTGCTACCCCAGTCTTCTTATCCATTTTAACACTTTTCCCCAGTATCATGCTGCCTACAATGACGTGTGGTTGGTTTAGGAAGGTATCCATCACCATTAAGCATGAATTTATGCGTTGTGGGAGTAACCCCATAACATCTACAGACAGGTCCATTTTCGTCAAAAGTCCTACGTCGTCGATTGGCCCCCACTGAATGGCTAACCCGGGCAAATTGTCAGCTTGGCGCGATTCGCAAATACGTTCCATTACAGAATTGGCAAATCCATAGTTGGCTTGTCCTGCATTTCCTCGACCACAACTGATCGAAGAAAATACGACAAAGTGGTCTAAATAGGGCGCCAAAGCACGGGTCGCAGCATCCAAATACTTGGTGGCTTGTACTTTTGGAAGGCACGCTACCTTAAAATCATCTTTGGACATATTCATTATCATGGAATCCCTGAGAACTGCTGCTAAATTAAATATACCGCCAACGGGGCCGAGCTGAGCTGCCTCTTTTACAAGCTGGTTGGCACCCCTCTCAGTAGTAGCATCCGTTTTAGAAATTACGATATTCACACCATCGTTGCGCCATCGTCTTACACACATTGATTGATATCCCGTCGTAACACCACTACGAGAATTCAATAATACCTTAGTTGCACCTCTACATATCAACCAGTTTGCTAATTCCAAACCGAATCCACCTAGTCCTCCGACTAACACGTAACTTTTCTTTGGATCCATGTAAGTGACAGTAGCAGAGTTTATAGATTTCGGAGAAGGCATGCACACTTTCCGTTGTTCTTCGGATCTTATTTTCAGTACAATCTTTCCTATGTGATTTCCGGAAGCCATTAATCTGAATGCTTCTTCTGCTTGGTTTTCATCGAAAACGACTGAGGGCAGCGGTCGAACTGCGCCGCTAGCTATGCCCTCACGCATTAACTGGAGTATACGATTCGTATGGGAATTGTCTTGTTCAATGATTGCGTCAAAAAGAATGCCGTGGAACGAGGTGTCTTTTAGAAACATGTGCATACCCAAGTTTGAGTTGTCGAACAGGTCGACTTTCCCTATTTCCAAAAAACGTCCTCCCATAGCAAGGCAGCGCACCGACGCCTGAAGTAGCTTGCCCGACAGTGAATTCAAGACCACATCAACGCCTCGACCTTTCGTCTGGAAAAGAATAAATCGTTCAAAACTGGAGTCCCGTGAATTGCCAATGTGTTGATCGTCTAATTGTGGAAAAGAGTTTTTGATGAAGTTGCGCTTTAATTGACTGCCAACGGTCGTGAACACTGTACAACCCATGCTGAGCGCAACCGATATTGCCGCTTGCCCTACACCTCCAGCACCAGAGTGTATTAACACCGATTCCCCCGGTTGCAGTTGTCCGCGAATTATTAAAGCATAGTATACCTGAAAAGCCAACGTAAATCACAACCCTGGCTAATGGATGCTCACCGTTCCATAAACCACTGGAACAGTAGCTGCTTCTTCAAGTGTCCATTTTTCTGGAACTTCCAATAGAAATTTAGGATGAGCAACGCAGGTCAAGGCTAAACCACGTGACTTAACCACACCCATTACCCTTCGACCTTTACTATCACGCCCCGAAAATTCTAACCCCAACGGACAGTCATTCGTATCATAGTTGCCTGGCAGAGCGTCAGTAGCCAATTGTCCAGTTGCCAGCATTACATCCCTAAAGTTTATTGGCGCGTAGTATACTGAGCACAGCTCTGAGTTGTTATCGAGCCTAAAATAATTGAGATTAATTAGAGAAATTGTCCCGTCAAGTCGTACTTATGACTGTCTTTCACCCATCTTAAGGTCGATAGGTCGCCCTTGGTTCCTACGTTAATGTAAGCGTGGTTCGCGGCTACATTTTCTTCTTTAAACGCGTTGATGGGAAGGTGGCGGTATGATCCCCAAGCCGTGTTCTTCAAAACATTGTGAACTAAATCTTTTTCTAACTGCTTCCGATAGAACGACGAGGAGAGAGAGAAAACTTCCTTTGTTTCATTGGGCATGTAGTAGGCACGTATGTTAATTCCTCCAGGCTCTCTCTTCAAACAATTAACCATACCCATTAAACCATTCAGTTCCTCCCCTTGACTTACTAAGTATATCTTGATCCCTTCTGATTCCGACTTTTGAAGTGCGTGTTTTAGGGGTTCTAACCAGTCGAAGTTTGCTTCGGTGATCTTCAGCACAACCACATCATCAGGTGCAACTAGTGGCTTACGAAGTAATAAGAACGATTTCGTGCTTACAGACTGAGTTGCTATGGCTCGCAAACCAAGAGAAGCTATCACCTCGACGTTCTCTAATTTATCTTCCTCCTCGCTTAAAATGAAGCCACCCGGTTTTAATGAAGCACAAGCGGCTTTCATAAGATCCTCATTTTTTTGTGAGAAAGCACCCTTCATCACTACGAGGTGCGTATTTTCCTTGAGCTTATTTACCATTTTTGGTAGTATTTGAATTTCGTTATTTTCTAATTCCGACGTGTCCGTTTCTACTAATTTTATTACTGTATAATCTAGAGACATTTTCGGCTCAGACTCTATGGCGGTTTTGATGAGCAGTGTTAAATGATCTTTTTTGAACGCCTCTTGTAGTATCCCCGTAACTTTTAACTTAAGGGCGTTTGTATTTTCTAAAACAATCTGTGTCAAAATCGTCACCGCATGTTCCCTTCCCATGGATATGTCGTTTGTGAGATCGGCATTATCGTACGCAACAAATTTGTACGATTCCAGGTTAGGAGATGAGAAACCAGTCCGTCTCGGCGTCATCTGGTATTCTACTTTATGCATTTCAATTCCACCCGTTTGTGCCAGCCCAATCAATGGAAACATCTTAATAGGAAGACCTAGCCGGAAAACTTATATTAAAATGGCAATGTGAGATACACTTACTATCGTTAGTGTCCATTAGGGCCCGATGCAATTTTGGATTTATTAAAACTCTTTGTATTCGGACTGGTAGGGACAATTCTCGGCTTTTCGAACCGAAGATGACGTATTGCAGAACCGCGTCGGTGTAAGTTATCCAGTTGCTTTGACATGTAATCCTTCCGTTCATGCCTCGGTTGTCAGATGACATAATTACTTTGAAATGACCACTGTAATCGTACCCTCGCACTTTTAATTCCTTATAAAAATCATCACTGGTGTGCTGCAGTAGTTCTGGCTCAGATGTATCTACATCCTGAATGAGATCAACCGTTTCCTTCGAAATGTCCCGAGGTGCAAAAATTCTTCCAGATGAGACCAAGTAGCCGCCTTCGCATATTTCAAATTCACCAGAACTTTCTAAAATATTCACTGAGAGTTTTAGTGATCCTTCTTCGGACACCATAATTGGTCTTTTAAACTCCACATCTTCGAATACCACTGGCATTTTTTCAAAATCTTCATTATTCAGTTTGGCTAACGCTTTCCAAGCAAAAATCTACGCGCGAGTTAATGAGAAAGTGCAGATTGAAGTGAGCATACTTACTAGGTACCCTGCACCTGGGAAAATAATTCTGCCGTCAAGTTGATGACCTATTAGGAATTTATCGGATTCTTTGGAGAGATCAACTTTAAATATGCATTCCCCAGATTTTGAAGATTGTGCTGCAGAATTTATTACGTTCCATTTCTCGGAGTGATCCCATTCGATCATCGAGTTAATCATGGTGGTCTTACAGCCAACAGGATACTTAACTTGTTCGTACATGGTGGATATTTGTGGTTGTCCGCCGGCATTGAATATTCTATAAAATAACCTGGAAACGTGCGACGAAAATCTATGCTTACCTTCCAATAGCAGAAAGGCAGAAATCTACATTGTTAGGAGCTGTTTTACTCATGAGGTTGATGGAAGTGCAATTAGAATCAAGTACCCTCCTAACTATGGCTTGCAAGAGTCCATGGGGAGCAATCTCAATAACAATGGCATTCTTGGGGACATGTTGAAGAGCTTCATAGAAAAGCACCGGTGACAGAACGTTTGTCACGTGGTACTTTGCTGAACACAGCTTGCTATCGGGAGAGTCCCATTTGGATTCAGGATATGACGTAGATATCCATTTGGCACTGCGAGGTTTGGGATGGGGGATGATTTCGTCCAAAGCTTTTTGTAGTGCATTTTTTACAGGAGCAACGTACTTGCTGTGAAATGCGTAACCACTGCTAGGCACCATTTTTGCAAAGATACCGCTGGATTCTGCGTCAGCAACCAATTTGGAAACCAACTCTTTTGGACCTGATACGGTTACATTGTCTATACTATTGTGACAGGCAATTTGAATTTCCGGTGGACAGCGCTTGATACATTCTTCCCACGATAGTCCTATAGCCGCCATTGCTCCATTAGCTGCACATTCTTTGTAAATCGTAATACTGCGGATGTAAGCCGTCCTTATTGTCTCTTCATGTGTCATAGATCCATCCGCGTACGCACACGCTGAAACCGATTCTTTGAACTCTTTATCTCAATGTCATTAGTACTTACCGACTTCTCCAGCAGAGTGTCCTATAATTCCCTCGGGTACTATTCCTAAGCTTGTTAATAAATCCGTCAAAGCAATTTGGACGGCGTTAATTGTTACAAATGTCATTAAGATATCGTTCTCCGGATTGTTACTAGAATTTAAGACAATGTCATTCAAAGTTATACCGTAGCATCTTAAACTTTCAGCAGATTTCTCTATAGACTTTCTAAACACATCAAATACCATCATAGTTTTTGCCATTTGATGCCATTGTGATCCGACTCCACTAAACACATACCAAATAGGGCGTTTGCTAGATTCGTAACTTACGATATCTTGCGCGTTTGTTTTGCCTAAAAGGCGATAACCTCGAAAACGATGACCAGTTACATTGCGTGAGTGTATAGAGTTGACTAGTGCCATAAGCTCAATGTCTTCCTTGTTTTGATCTAAACTGTCCAAGAATTTACAAACGGCATCATGTGTTCGACCTGAAACAACTACCAAACGAGGTAACGACGCAACCGTACCAGTTTTCTTGGTTTTTGAATGAGAACGTAGCAGGGCATGACCATTTAATCCGCCAAATCCAAATGAATTAATTCCAACCAAACCTCCGTTCCAACTTCTATTTTCAGTAACAATCTGAAAATCAACTGTAATTTTCAGCAGTTATATAGAACTTTCTCAACCTTCACTCTTTTGTCCCTTAATGCGGGTATGTTAATGTTTGGAGATGAGTAGTGCAGATTTTTTGATATAACACCGCAATTCATTGCGATAATAACTTTCGCTATACCGCACAGTCCAGATGCACCCTCGGAGTGACCAAGGTTACTTTTCACTGAACCAATTAGAAGCGGTTCACTACGATTTTTGAGAAACACTGCTGCGATTGCTTTCATTTCTTCTGGATCCCCAGCTGGCGTTCCAGTACCGTGAGATTCAACAAAAACCACATTTGCCGGATTAACTCCAGCTTCCGTGCATACATCTTCAATGAGCTCCTTTTGCATTTCACCCGATGGGTAGGTGATTCCTTGATCCTTATAGCCGTCCATATTCAATTTTGCCCCCAAAACAGTAGCGTAAACTCGACGTGCGTTTCTAGTCCTTTGCAATAACAAGGCAACGGCGGCTTCTGCACGTACGTATCCGTCTCCAGTTTGATCAAAGGCATTGCACTTTCCTATCTTGCTTAACATGTTAAAACGTTGAAACGCAACAGACAGGACAGGATTAAGACACGTATTTACACCGCCAACAATCGCAGCATCACAATCTCCTGATTTAATTGCTATAAACGCTTTTTGAAATGCCACCATGCTACTGGAACAGGCCGAATCGATGGTATAGCTAGGCCCTTTAAAGTCAAATGTGTACGAGGTTCTATTCGACAGCATGCACAGAGGAGTTCCGGTTATGGAATATGGTGAAACTCTATCAGCTGCTTGTCTGACATATTCACCTGTATCGGTAACACACGCACCTACGAATACCGCTACGCGCTTGCCTCTCAACTCAGACGGATTGTATCCAGCATCAACAATTGCTTCGTAGACCACCTCTAGGAGAATTCTTAACTGAACGTCCATGTCCTCAGCCATTTTGGAATGTACTCCAAAAAATTCGGCGTCAAAGTGTTCTAAATTTTTCAATTTTCCCATGCGTCCTGGAAGCCCGTGCATGTTCACCGGCCATCTTCTATCATCTTCTGTTACCATATCGACACCATCCAATAGGTTGCGCTTAAGCTCTTCCATATTTTCGCATTCTGGAAAACGGCCAGATATTCCCGATATGACCACTTCATCTTCGCCAGGTTCTTGGGAATGGTACACTTCTCTTTCTAAAGGCATTATTTCGCTTGAATGGATTTCTGAAGAGCGGATTCGTGAATTAGAACATGCCACTCAGCAGTAGAGATGGGAATGATTTTAGATCTATAACAAGTAATGATATAAGCCTTTTACATTTAAAAGTTTTATATTACTCTCAGAAGATGATAAGAAAATGTAATCTTAATCATGCGTAGCTGTCATTACGACATACGATACGTGGCGAAAATGCTATTTGATGGAGATTAAAGCACAAGATTTAGGTTAATACTAACGTAATTGCTTTAGTTTTTATGATCCAGTTCAAAGAAAGGATTACTTTAATTTAATCGCCTGAAGCTAAAGAAGGCTTACATTCCACATAGCACGAGCTATAAACATCGCACGTGGAATTTTATATATTAGTATTTATTTATTTATTTATTTATTATTCCTCTCTTGTTGTGTTATTGTGTTGTTGGAAAACATGTATCTTAGTACTAGCGGTATAACGGAAATTCTTGAAAGATACTGCATTTTTTTATACCAAGGTGCCACTTGGTACAGTTGTTCCTTAGAGCCATTTAAACGATTTGACCCGAAGAACACTTGACATTTTTCGTGTGGGTAGATTTTAGAGGGGGTGGGGGTGATTTATTGTAACATTTTTTTAAAAACTAAGTATGGCCTAGAGACAAGATCTGGGTGTCGATTTCGTATGATTTTAACCCGAGGAATCCAATGGTAGCGCCAGAAATGTAATCCGGATACCGGAAGTCCGTGAAAAGCCGCCATTTTTAGAAAATGGCAGACTTTTGATCGAATTATATTTTTAAGGCACACCGGGTCGTGTAAGGTGTCTAGACTTATGTTTTTGGGGTCAGGGAATTCATTTTTGATAACAAAAATAACCTACTGACATCGGAACTGCATGAGAGGCTTCCCTACTGCACTTTTTGAAGACATCGCGCGCGATGAAACCCAAGATATTCCAAAGTTTTAATATATAAACTTATATTATTTTTTGCATGCAGGGGAACATGGTAATTCGTGTCGCCGCAGCACGAGTTGGAGGAGCATATAAGGAGGGCGGCGTATGTCGCTGGCCATATCTGGGGATGTGCAAACCAGGTGATGAGAAGCTCTACAAGTCCAGAAGGATGGGGATGGACTCTTGAAGCCAAAGGCAGGAAGGTTCTGTACTGTAGTCCAAGCTGCCACAAGTATGGAAGGCAGTCTGTACTCTGAACAGGTGTGGCTGCGCGACAGGCTGCGAGACCCTTCGGTGCAGCTGCCGGCGACACGGATTGCCCTGTTCCCCTGCCTGCCAAAAATGTATGGTAGATTGCTCAAACAAAGGGTAAGAATATTGTATACTTCTGGATATACCTAATTTACTACCGAACCTTTAATATTTATACCGAGTGAATATTCCCAAAACGAACATAAAGAATTAACATGGGAAAAGGGGTTTTTGTAGATAGTTGCTCCCCAAGTTAACTTAGAGGGTTGATCATGACACCAATCGAATGAAGATTTTTCCTCGTCTAATGATATACGAATTAGTTCATTTTCAGGTGTATTTTCTCAGTGTTTTATCAAAAATTCGGCAATAAATCCACTTACCAAAATCATGTTAAGCCATGACTAAGACGAAAAGCAGATTCAAACGTCGAAATCAATATCAGTTTATGACACCTGGCATTAATTTTTTTGTAAAATGCGGTTCACTGAGGAAAAAGTATTTATAATAAACAACGTTTACAGCGGAAATATTTACTCTAGTACGCGATATTTGTTTTCCGTGCATGTGAAAACCTATTTCAATTCGTTAGGAAATTTCCATGGCTTAACATGATTTTGCTAATTGGATTTATTGCCGAATTTTTGATAAAATAATGAGAAATACACCTGAAAATAAGGTAATTCGTATATCATTAGATGAGAAAAAAATCTTCTTTTGATTGGTGTCATTACAAACCCTCTAAGTTAACATGGAGAGCAACGATCGGCAAAAAACGTTTTTCGCATGTTAATTTCCTACGTTCGGTTTTAAAATATTCACCCGATATGTGAAATTCCTTTTCAGTGGTGATTAACGCAATCTCAGAGGAGGTCAGCGATGTACTTGGTGATCTTTCATAGGCTTATAAACTTTTTACCCCATCTTTTAATATATTTTATGTTTTGTTAATGTGTATTTTTATTAAATAAAATATTACAAATTTATATAGGTTTAATAACTTTGGAATATCTTGGGTTTCACCGCGTGCGACGTCTTCAAAAAGTGCAGTAGGAAGCCTCTCATGCAGTTCCGATGCCAGTAGGTTGTTTTTGTTATCATAAATGAATTCCCTGACCCCAAAAACATAACTCTAGACACCTTACACGACCCGGTGTGCCTTAGAAATATAATTCGATCAAAAGTTTATCATTTTCTAAAAATGGCGGCTTTTCACGGACTTCCGGTATCCGGATTACATTTCTGGCGCTACCATTGGATTCCTCGGGTTAAAATCATACGAAATCGACACCCAGATCTCGTCTCTAGGCCATATTTAGTTTTTAAAAAATGTTACAATAAATCACCCCCACCCCCTCTAAAATCTACCCACACGGAAAATGTCACGTGTTCTTCGGGCCAAATCGTCTAAATGGCTCTAAGGAACATCTGTATCAAGTGGCACCTTGGTATAAGAAAATGCAGTATCTTTTGGTATACCGCTAGTACCTACTATCTTATTTTAAGTTAATTTTACAGTTTGATTAATGTTGCTTGGTTTATGTTATACATCTTCATTTGCACCAATGCTTCACTAGCGATACGTTGCGTACATTTTATTTATCTGAAAATATGTTCATTAAATTTAAATAGTTATATCTGTTGATCTCTATTTAGATTTCTGTACGTGTGTATGGCGTTTGTATCATGATCTTGGATTTGCTTTTCCTCCCAGTGTTCAGAGTAATTTTATTCTCATTACTCTTACTGGTGTAGTATTATTTCACCTAGTACATTATCTTTAAGCTAAGTTTTCGTTTATTTTCGCACTGTCCTTAATTTATACTTTATATAATTTTTTGTTGAGTTTGCAGTTTTGTATCTAGGTTGGAATAAAGATTATTATTATTTATTATTATTGTTATATTATGGTAATACATAGTATAAACGTTTTGGATGTTTTATGTATATTCATTAGACATGCTTCATATATTAGTATACTGACAAGTAGAGGCACCATGAATATTCCTATAATAATAAGATATTCCATGTATGTTGTAGACATTCAGAATTGATGTTCTATATAGAGATTCCTTTCACCTTTGAGAAGCACCCTGTATCTTTGTATGTAATGGAATTGATAAGTATTTGTTTTCACAAAGGACATGAGATGTAAAGGCAATGTAACATTTATGTTACCTCTTCGAGGGGTTAGTGGGAACCCTTATCATACAGGCTTGAAAATTGACATTTTGACATTTTTCTCAAAAACTTTTCTGGCCCGTTGCCGATGCAAACCGGAAGTTGTGAAAACGTAAAAACTACATGTACCCTTTTAACGCAAATTGTCTGCATATTAACTGCGATTGCGTACGCTTAAGATCCGTTATTATTAAAACTGGTATATTTAATGTTTTCTATACAGGGTGTTTCATATAAGTATGTAAAAAAAATTGGGTGGTAGAGGGAGTCAAAACAAGCACTTTTTCTAAATAAACCAAAGGTCCAGCGTGTTTCGTTTGCAAGCTACCCCGAAAGAAGTGGCAAAACTTGGCTTTCTTCTATAATTTTTTTCTCAGCAACCATAAGAGTTGGTGACTGGTGGCACGTCTTTGAATAGGTTTTCAGGTATACCCTTGCCGATTTTGTAAAAATGTATTCAAAATTCCTACTACAAAAGCGCGCACCTTAAATGGGACTGCAAAAAATTATGATTGACGAAATTTGGTATCTGGGAGTTTTTGAATATGAAAATCACGAATCTGAAATGAAAAATTCGAAAAAAAGTTCCACTACAATTCTTGGCCGGACAACGAAAATGAAGAGAATTCCAAGAAATTCGTTGTGTACATACTTGATGAGTTAAGCAACAACATTGTCGAACAGTTTTTTTTAAATCACAGCAAGTGTCCCCCGACTACTAGTGAGTCGTCTAATTATGCATGTAGTTAGTTGAAAATGTCGCAAATAACAAAAAATTAACGATTTAAGTCTATATTATGATCGACAATGGTAAGGGCATACCCGAAAACCTATTCAAAGACGTGCCACCCGTCTTTCTAACTCCTATGGTTACTGAGAAAAAAATTAAAGAGGAAATGCAAATTTCACCACTTCTTTGGGGGTGGCTCCCAAACGAAACACGTTGGATTTGGAAAAAGCGATTGTTTTGATCTCTTCTATCACCCAATTTTTTTTTACATACTTATATGTAACACCCTGTATAAGCTACGGTATAATACTGATAATTAGTCCTCACGGAATCAGTACTCCATAATATGTTCAACCATTTGAATGCCATTATGTATTCGCCCTACAAATCTTGACCAATGGTGAGTTTATGCAATCATTGATTGTGGGTTTACAGAATCATTTTCATTAGGGCACTATCATTAACTCATTTTTAAATAACCAATAGAAACAAATGTTTATTGTGCGTCGCTAACTAACGAAACCATACCCCTGTTTCTAATGGCTATTTCTTAACGATCTAATGATAGTGAACTAATGATGATAATAGTATAAACCCACCATTCATTTCATGTACATACTTTAATTTTACTAATGGCTCGCCCAGGACCCTTGTAGCTACTAACGCGAACTCATCTGAGCTACGCAGGTCTGTTCTTCCTGATAGAAGTTCAGTGCGGCAAATATACGTCTACCGCGGGTGAGGTTCTCACATGTCTCCTAGAAACTCACTTTCCAGACTTACTGGGGACTACGTAACTGCGGATCCACCAAAAGGAGCTACCTGGCTCGGTTTAAGGCCGACCGACTGGAAAGTAGTACGAGCGTTTCTAGATATCGAGGGTGCGTCTAGGATTAAAGACTGGGTGACCAGTCTATTCCGGGCTCAGTGGCAACAAGAAACTGGACTCAGATAGTCCAGGGCTTTTTAGCAGAGTCCCTTAGCAAATCTGGGTCTTTTAAGCTTCTAAAACTGAATAGAAGCCAGATTAGAAAGATCAGTGGCCGGTGTCCTAACGGGGTCAAGTATCACTTGGACAACATTGGGCTTGTAGGAGAGCCCACCTGCAGATTCTGTAGCGAGGCAGACAAAACTACCGAGCATGTGGATTATGGTCTGCCACTGTGTCGACTTCAACAAGGTGTAGCAACTTAGGCTAAACAGGGTCCTTATCCTTTATTGAGAGGAACAGGTTCTGAACCTAGTTTTTCGATCGAATTTGCGACTAAACTTTGTTATTTATTGCGCTATTTATGCCGAATTTTCACCGCAGGTACCGTTAAACTAGCGGATTTTTTTGAAATTTTAGACATTTTTAGTGAAGACAAACATATCGCATATTACAAAATCAGATGTGCGAATGGGAAGATTGCACAATGCCAACTTTATAGACATTTCTTTGCAATTTTAACCATAGATGCTTCTAGTAAAGGTAAAAATACTCGCTTTACTACAAAGTAGTTAGGCTCTACAATTATCTAAAACAACCCCAGTACTCAGTCAATGAAGTCACAAAAATCCTAAGGGGATTAGATGACCATGGACTGAAAGTAACTCCTATTTCTTTGGTTTTTTGAGAGGCGAATTTACTTTAAAGATTCCGGACAGAAAGTAGGCCTGAAAATGAATGTTTCAGGACGATTTTGGGAAATAATTTTCAAAATCGTAATTTGCACACCTTAAAAGTCAACAATAGACTGCATTATTGAGGTTTCTTGTGTCAATGTTAATTCATACAATACAAATGATTAATGAAGATTACATAATATAGGTAATGTAAATATGCAAAAAGCGAAAGATAACGATGTCTTATTTGTTCTTGTTAAATACCGAAAGTATTAAAAGTCACACCGAGCCCAAGTTTTGCAGTGAAATTATTGCGTAGGTAAGTTTATTATGTGCATTTTATAGAGCCAGCCTCCTAATTTGATCGTAAGTTTATAGAATTGTTTATAATTAATAATTTAAATTAGTACAGGGCATATTAGTATAGTAATTTTAGGAAATATATATAGTTCCAATTTTTTCGGGAATGTGTGGTTGTAAGGACTACTGATGATTGTGTAGTAAAGTACTGAGCGATTTTGGTGCCCCTGGGAGGGGGTTGAGGGTACAGTTTTGATGTTTTTCGCTTATATCTCGAAAACATGTAAAAAATTCAAAATCTAAAGCACATAACATTTTCTACAATTTTGTTGTATACATTTTTTCGAGAAAACGAACGCAACGTCTTTGAGCTACGGGCTCTTGAAAGTGAGCAATTTTCAGAGAACTCATGTTTCCCATAGAACTTTTCCCTCTGGGATCTAATATTTTATGTTCATTTACAGGATGTTTTCTATATATACAGTGTGATTGAGTTTGCGTGTCCAAGATTGTATTCCTTTTATTATTGGAAATAGGAAAAAAGTGTAAAAAACAAAACTACAGATTAAAAAAAAACAAGTGATATAAAAACGAAGAAGCATCATAAAAAATTTTTTTTTTTGAATTGAACAGTTACTTGTTTCTGCAATATACTTAAAGGGCTAGACATTCTTTTTACAATGATACTTAATAGGTCATAATTACCTTAGAAATTAAAGTTATAGTAATGTTTATGAAACCAATCGCAGTAACCGGAAATTTAAACAAAAACAAGAGCGAGTTTTTGACTTGTCATGTCTGTCACAAAACTAGTTTAGTGAACAATAACTTAGATCCACAATGCAACAAAACCATAATTACACAAATGATGAAAAATATTAAGAGTTTTTATTCGATGTGATGATAAGATACATGCAAGTGCAATGTATTTAAATTTGGCGTAAGTTATACCTAGTAGTTGTTTCTGTATCTGATTTTCATTTGTTTTCTTTATGCTTCCTGTTATAATTTTAAGTTTTTGTTTAAATTTCCACAGCTACTGCGATTGGTCCTCTATAGCTTTAAGGTAATCATAACATATTTGATATCATTGTAAGGAGAATTTCAAGCTGTTTAAGAATATTACAGACAAAAGTAACCGTTCCATTTAAAAACATTAATTTGTATTCTGGTGCTCTTTTGATTTTTTTTGAATATGTAGCTTTATCAGAAATTGAAAGTAAAGTAGTTTTCCTTTTTACACTTTTTCCCTATCTCTAATAATAAAAGAAATATACGCTTGGACACGCAAAATCAATCACACCGTACAGGTCTAAAGTTACAGAATTTGGTATTTATTTTATTTTAATTTATTTGCCTTTATTTTTGAGTGGGCCGGGTTTCTTTTAATTTATTCAATAAACTTTTATGAATAATGCCTTATACCTACCTCCAACAGTTTTCGAAATATCTTGATTTTCTTGGTTTTGTTTTTTTCTTAGGAAACTTCTTAGAAACCTTTTTCAAAATCATTCCAAAAAATCAGAAATTAGAATAAGTTAAAGAATGACATAAAAATATATAGATATAAGAACGGTAGAACATTTACACTTTTCCTCCCATCTCAACTACCGCAATTTAAAGAAAACGATTCTTTTTGTAGCAAACTTTCAATATTTTTAGATAAAAAATGCACGAATAAATGTGGTGCCGGACAAGTGACAAACCGAAATAGTTAATAAACATGTTTACCCCTATTTTTGACCAGGGGTATATAGGTGAGCTGTCAAGGAATTTGATTAGACGGAAAAATTAGTTTTTATTGGAGGAATCGTCAGAGAAATAGCGCGAAGCAGTCAACGAAGTTAAGTGTCACCTGTAATTCAGCGTGGGGTGGTTTTTATTTTTACGCGAAATATGCGTTGAACCGTGAGCTAAGTCACGTCAACCCCTTGTAAATTACAGTAGGCTGGAGCTTATTTTGCGTTGTTAGAATGCGCGTTGGGCCGCCAGCGCAATCAGGTCGGTCATCTGTGATCTAGCGTAGGGTAGTTTTACATATTGGCGTGACATCCTAATAATCGAGAACTGATATTACTTTCGGAAAAATTTATGCTGATACGGTAGGGATTGGTTATGTGTAGGAACAATGGTGAATATGTTAAACTTCTGTGACCATGAAAGCCAGAAGAACGGACTTATTTAATTCCATGTTGTATGTCTTCGCATTTCTGAAGCGGTTGATCGTGTGTAAAGAACATTTGTTATATCACATTGCCGTTTACCGGATGACGTAGTTTTTAATAATCGTATTGAAACTCAAAGGAGCTAATCATTAGACGAGACCGGAGTTTGTGTCGACTGTTACTTTTCAATCATTTCGAGTAACTTAGCGTGCTTCGAGTTTAGACAACTCAGGGGATATCGCTATTATTACTGGAGTAAGGTAACCATTTCTGTATTTGTATTCAAAACAGTACCGTTTACTTTAAGGGCGTTGCAAATTTTGGTTTTTTATCAGTGAAATAGTAAGACAAATTTATCTGGTTTGAAAAAAAAATGTTATCTGCCTTTTTCATTTTTGGGTAAAGTTATAGAGCAAGCTGCTCATTTACTTACCAATTTCGTCAGAAAAACGATCAAAAACATTACCTTGCTTCACAAGAACTAATTTTTGTGCTCCTTCATCCTTTGTCAGATTTTAGGACAAAGTTACAAAGATACGTTACATCACACATAATTTTTTACAAGATAAGGTTCTCCGAGTTTATTTTATTGTTGGTTCAATTTGGGTATAAAATTCCTTATAATATGGCTACGCAATAAACCTGTTGTGAGCGTTTTCCCAATTAAACAGTTAGTATGAGACTGTAGATAATAATTAAACCGCAATTAAATTATATTTTTTGGTAGTATCTACATAGTTAAATTTTATTGATCATAATCTGAATGTGCTACCTAAATTTGTCTTACTCTAGGTCTTACTGGTTCCAAGAAAGTACCATATTTGACAAAATGTTTTAGCGTTATGTAAGGAAAAATCGAATGTCTCATTAACATTTTTCCGAATGGCACTTTGTTTTACATAAAACTGCGTTTTGCAATCTCTTAAAGCAATTAATAGGGTATTTGAATGTTTTTTTTAATGTACAAAAGCGAAGGACACGTAGATAAAAGTCACGTGTTAAACAAAAAAATCTTAAGCATTATTTCAAAAATGTTGTACTAAAGTTCAAACGAACCAAATTCCCGCCAAAACCACCTCACAATGAGGCGTGACGTCACTCATTTTACGATTTGTTATGGCTGCATGTTACTTGCGTTGTATAATGTGCGTAATTCGTTCGTTTGGCTGTTATTTGTGTTCATCGTGCTTGGCTGTATTTTGGGAACGTTGGGAGAGTGTTCCTTTGCGTAGTATTCATTGTTAAATAAGTGATTAAAATGCAAACAAATAATAAGCGCGCCGAATAAGTGGTGTTTTGTTCCTGGTTGTACGAGTATTATCTATTAATTTTGCGCTTATTTTACTCGTACAAGGTAGAGATTCGGGACAGGTCTCAAAAATTCGACTAAAGTCTGGGAAGTGTGCCATAGCGGGTTTGGGGACGGTCAATGATTGATTTATGCTCGATATTAGTGAAACATGTTTCGCCTTTTGATCATTTGTCAAATGTATTTGCCAACAACTTTAACGTCAGTTTTCAGCGGACAGCAACTCGGCCTCGAACTTGGCAAAAGGCCACTATAGGCTGACAACACCCCTGCCGCCTCGAAATTGAGGAAAAGGCTTCTTCTAACGGACCGTAACTAGACCTTCAAGTTGGCAAAAGGCGACTTTAGACGGACAGCACCCCGGTCTCGCAATTGACAAAAGGCCCCTTCTAAACGCTAACTCCGGTATTTAAACGGACTTACCGCCTTAAACAAATCTAAATTTCGTATCCAAGTGTCGACACTTGGCAACTCGATAAACCAAGGAAAGCGTCGCTACAGGACGCTTTCTCCAGTTAAATACGCAAACTTTACGCGGAATTATCTTGTATTATCATTTTCTACGAAATCAAACAGCCTTTTTCCGATTAAAAGGCAACCTTATTTCTAGTTAATTACATTAACCTTTTATAAACATAAGCCAAATACCCAATAAATCAAATCTGGACTGTCACCCAAATGAATTAACAAAACAAACAAGAAAAAAGTATCCTTAATAATTCTAGGAAATAATTGTGAAACAAATAAGAGTCGTATACAATGGATAGTAAAGTACGGAGCGAGATATTGGTCCTTTGAGCCGAATTAATTTTTTTTCGCTCTTTTTTCACTTTTTAGAATATTGCAACGATATTTAAGATAACCCAAACGTCAACCATTTAAAAGGACGTGCGATGCGAAACGCCGATGATAAGGTAGTTAGCCAGTTATTACAAAAACAAATATACGAGTATAAACAAATAAGTCAAACTTGGAAGAAATGCCATTGATGTATATTAGTGAACACACACGTAGTTGACTGTACAAAAACGGTAAAATGAACTACAGTACCTTTCGTTCCTTTATGCAGGCCCCAGTGGCGGCGCGTAGTGGTGTGTCTTGGGGGTGCACAATTTAAAAATGGGCCACGGGCAAAAAGCCGGAGGCGAAAATTTTTTGAGTGTCACCGCAACACGAATTTTTTTGGGCCTATTAAATGGCGTAAAAAAGTTTATTGATGAGACCTCTAAATACTCCAGGGTTTATTGAATTTTCTCGTTTTGTCAATGGCTGCGGAGAGCAGGTTCCAAAGCACCACAAAATTTTATACGGTCTATAATTTTGGATAAAACGTTCTTTTTTACTTCCTCATTACGTTTTTCGATACTCAGACGGTATGCACTATTTAACTGTTGCCGTATATCATGCTTACCTAATAAATTAAATCTCAACTTAGCAGATATATGATGTGCCTTTGAAGATTGATATTTTTTAATTTTTTCGGATAAATGCACTAAGTCTGTACCGCCATTCTTTGTCCATTCTGATGCCTCATCACCGAGCTCATCACCAAACAACAAACACGGAAAACAATAGACTATTGTTAAAGGTACAACCGCATAACCAGTCAGTTTTTTCATACATGTCTATTTTAAACGATCGTTTATAATCCCGACTTCCTTTATTGATTTTCGATATTTCCAAACCCGCATTTTTTATTTTAATTTGATCTTGTAATTTTAGTAAATTAAATTTAATAATTGTCTTTAAATAATGAACGGTAACGTCGCAACGTTACTTGTTAAAACCGAAACGATCAACAAACCCTACTTCGTAGTCCGGCGAATACTGGTTCACAATGAGAGTGTGCTCTTGCTATACTTTACAACATTGACCTTCGCGGGGCGCACGGGGAAAGGCGACGTAGCGTTTGAACGAATCAGAGATCGTAGCTAACCGTGCACTGCACGGGAAGGCGGGATGGGAATAATTTTTAATACACGTTCAGCGGTGTGTCAGTGTACCCGTTAGGTTTTGCATTTAGATAAGATAAGTGAACTATTTTTATTGCGAGATACGAACGTGCAAGAATGTTAAATACATAAATAGAATTGTTATTGTTTTCGTTTTTTTAAAATGATTTTTGGGAGTGCACGTGCTCATGTGCACTTATTGAGAAACCGCCACTGGCAGGCCCGGTTGACGCAGGTGGAAGTTTGCCCCGCGATGGTCACGTTTTGCACGATGTTCAACTAATGAGGACTAGAATCTTCCGCGATGCGGAAAGAGGCTCGCGATTATTGGCGGTTTTCCGGATAATAACTTCTATCTTCTGATTTGTTCGTCCGCTGGCAAGCTTTTCTACTTGTGGTCAGGTGCTGAAGATGTGAAAACACCCCTTCGGAGAGCAATGGAAGGGCTGTCAACCCCTAACTAAGTGTAACTCTTACGCTAACTGTCGCAGGTTCAGGTGGGCCGAACAAAAATGCTGCTTTTCTGTTTCGAGTTGTGCTATTATATAGCTTCATAGCTAGTACGATAAGAACGGTAAATGCTTTCTACGAGTGTCTTCTTAGTTAATCATAGATCACAGATAGCTCGCGTAATGAGTACTAACTATATTGACTATGTACATGAAAATGCTTTTAAATATTACTTTGTTAATTTAATCGTTTTTAGGTAACTGTCCCAGTAATGGACACTCAAGAGCAAATTTCAATTTGAAAAATTCGCAAAAACGATTAGATTTTATTATACTAAATGTGACATATGTCTAAATGAGGTAAATTTTATGCTCTTCCTTCTAGTATATGTTCAAACTTATAACTTTTGATAAGCTGAATTTTTATAAAATATTTTTTAAACAATTAATTGTCAAATGTGCCAGTGGTGGACATACTATCGCTAATAATGAACATGTTTTGAGCCAATAATGGACACATTTCAATTTTTTATTTTTATTGGTATTTAAGCATCGCAGGTACACTGTAGTGACCTCTCTGGTTTTTTTGTTTAGGATCTATAATATTACATACAATATCATCTTTAAAGTAATATAATATGTCGTGTTTGATGGGCCATTTCCACGAATCCATCCCTGCAGTCACCATCGATCGAATTTCTGCCCCTTCTGGATCACTCTTCAAGATAATTCCTGAAAAAAGAAAATAATAATGCTTTAGACTTTGCAATTAATCATCGAAACACTTCTAAGTTATACATAGGCAATTAGTAGGTAGGTACCTTACTCACCTGGGTAATAATTGTCCTCATATTTGTGGATTACATTTTTTTTTTGGTTACCCATTGCTTTATAAATACAAATCTAAATGAATATTTGATAGAATATCTACATGGGTATATAAATTACTAATTAAGATGGATGTCCATTACTAAAAGTCTTTGCTTTAATAATGGACAACCCGGGGGTCCATTACTGATACATTGTAGAATTTCGTGTATGGGTAATGGTCACCCATCACAAAAAATGTAATCACTTCAATGTCGTATTTGTAATTAAACATAACATATTTTGACTTACCGTATCTAAAGTAAAAACCGCGCACTAAACTGTAATACGTATAAACTGCAAAATTTTTTATTATTGTAACGCACCAACGCCAGGAAGACTTGAAACAGCTGTTAAACAGAGCACGCGCCATGAATATTTCCACAATTACTATTTACAGACTGAAGTTAGATGCGAATAGCTTCAAGAGTAATGCGTAGTGGAACTACCGAATCAACGTAACTACTAAACCAGAACATTTTGGCGGTTATTTTGAAATTCACAGATCATTTTCAGGCAAGGGTGTCCATTACTGGTGCAGTGCTCAGTACTAGGACAGCTACCCTAGCAAGGGCAAACTGACTAATGAATCCATTAGGGAATATACTAGTGCTATTTTCTGTATACCTGCTGATGACATTACATTGATTATGTATAAACGTTAAGGAGATAACGGTAAAAATCACATGGCGTTTGCTTAGTCTGGTGTCAACTTCATCTTTGACAAAGTTGCGTGGTGAGCCAAAAGTTGATGGCAGTATGTCGTCCGTGCTCTATCTGCAAAACTATTGGTAGCGACGCGACGCAGTATACAAGCGCGTCGCTATGTGTAATCGTAATTCAGCCATTTAAGTTGTATTTTCCATCGGCTTACAACAAGAGTGGAAGACCTTACTTGCATAAAAAATAAATGGAATCTCCACGGCACTGGCAAAACGTTTTAATATAACAATCATTTTTACTTTACCTACGGCTAGCTCAGCAATAAAAATGTTTTTCGTGTCCCTTACCTTGCGGAAATTTGGCCCTTTCGAGATTCAAAATCTAACTCAGGTAAAGAGATACAAAAAATTTGGTGTGGCTACCACAGATGCCACCCGTACATCTGCGCATGTCTTAGAATTTGTGCACCAAATTTGGTTCAGCCGTTTAGCCGGAGATGAGAGCTCGATAGACCGACCGACATAATTGAGATTTTGTTTGATTCGGATTGCTGGTGCTTTAAAATGCGTATTTTCGTAAAAAAAAGTGGGGGTCATTCCAATACAATACCTCCCTTACTAACGTGAGGGTGGTAAACATGCAAAACCTATTTTGTGATCACGTGTCCATGCTAAATTGGATCCTTAACTAAAATTCATCTTTATCACATCATGAATTATCGGTACATTCTCCTGTTTAAAATATGCTAAACAAAATTTTAACCCAAGCAAAGGAATGGCGTCACGGTAATTAAATCCAATTTTCCAATCAATGAAACAAAATTTGTATTAATAAACACGGGTCGATTCCTTTAGGAATATTAATATTACTTTGAACAAAATTCCTTAGCCAAATTACATAAGGACCTGTCCCATGACGTCACTCAACTTTAAGGAACTTCCTTTGACCAGCGGGCATATTTGACGATTCGAAGGAAACTTCTTGGTTTATCATAAAGAGTTTGTCAGTTTATTTAATCCCATTTGAAAAGCGGTTTTCCGATTTGATAATGTTCCTTCGCGTATATTTCACCACCAGTAAATAAAAAGGGCTTGCTACGAATCAGGCTGCTAAAAAGTTTTTTCTTCGTCTGGAAATTTGCCGTAATTCGTTTATTCGTACACATGTAAATATGAACGTAACTTGCAATTTATCACAAACCCACCTTTGTGTTAATGTTTCTCCACCACGTATTCGAAATTGGGGAGTTCTATGTTTTTACCCGAAGTTAAACTGGTAATCCTTTACTACTTTTTGGATAGATTTCACTCAATAAATCCATGTTCTAATTTTTGATATCGCACCACGAATACATACGCAAGGATATTTCTTACAACACAGCAAAAAATGTCCACTGCGTATCAATTTTTTTTCTACGTGGTCACTCCCTAATTTGGGCTCACGCTGGTAACTTCGCTAAGAATTTATATACACCGTACGTCAAGTTGTACGTGACCGCTCGCGAACATTAGTTTAGAATGCTCTCCCACTTCTCGCGCTATTTCAATCTCGCCCGTCAAAATTTCGGAAACTAGACCTATTTTCTGAACGCAAAGACCTCGACTAGCGTGGCTTTTTTAACGAATAGTAAACCTGCATTTTTGTCACGAACTTGACTTTAAGCAGTACGAAACCAAACTCTTAAGTTTGAAGAAGATCCTGGCAACCCAATACGGTTATTGTTATCGCTTGTTATCGCCAGATATACGTTTGTTCATGTTCGCTATGAAGCGATATATGTGAAAATTTTCCTATGTTTAAAAAAGACCGGGAGGCAGCGTACATAGTAACTAAACCATAAGCGACAAAAAATTCGACAATACAGGCTGAAAGTACGTTGAAAACTAATAATAAAATCACTCGTCTGCCAGTCGTAGTGGCAGCATTAACTTGGGGCGGCGCTGAATAGGTGACTTCTTTAGGTGATCAACTAAATTACTAAACTATAAGGATCACGGAAAAGATTTGTATCAAGAAATCTCATTTTTTCCATAGTTTTCAAATATGCTATGGCAGACGATATCAAGTGCAGCGTTGGTAGCGAAAGACGCCCTCCAATGTAGGGAAAAACACCCCTGAACTAAACCATGAGGACCGTATAAAAATTATACATAAAAAATTCCTCTTTTTGTCACTACTTTAAAATATATCCTGGCAGACGATCTTAAGTGTAGCTTTAATAGTGGCAGACGTCTTAGAAGTTAAAAAATTTAGGTATAGTAAATCCCAGCGAGTGCGAGCGTGTGAGAGATAAGCACGCGAGAGCACAACGAGCACAGCGAGATAGCTATAGGTTTACGCACCGCTTGGAGTTACCAAACGAATTAAATTAGGGAAAATAATAAATTATTTATTTCTCGATAAGATTGTCGGTATTTCTTGAATTCTTCTCAGACTGAGAAACAGAAAACTTGAAGACAAAAGAAGATAGATCTTCAGCTCTTTCTAAACTATCCTCTGACTCCAGTTCCGTTGTCTCTATCCAACATTGATGGATCGATGATTAAAATCGACAAGTTTGTTTTGCTGAAACTTTTTCGGAAGTATGATTTCTTCAAGTGCTCCTAGTCCATCGCCAGTTGTAGATGTTGTTTTAATCGATGGATTATTTTTTTGCATCTTTTAAAAGATCTCCGGTAAACCTTTGAGCAATTTTCTGAACCCATCCTCGGCAAGATTTGTGCTGTGTCAGCGAGAGAAGTACATTTTACTTTTGACAGATAGTTACCCCTTCCATGAAGGACGCAGAACATGATCGTTGGGATCAAAATAAGGAAAGATTACAATCCTACTCAATTTCTGTTTCCACTCAGAAGCAGCCTGCAAATTTCATAAAACCACTTCGCAATGATAGCTCAAAGCCTCTCTTATAGATTACTTATACCGTTCATAGGCAAAAAAGACCTGTTGCGCTTTACTTGAAAGGAAAGTTGTGTTTGCCACATATGAAGATAAGTGCTATAAATTTGTGACAAGGGAAGATGATGTGGTAAAAACTGAATTGTGCTGCAGCCACTAAGAGGCAGATTCTCGAATAATTTACCATCTTGGTAAACTACCAACAAGTAGCAAAAGCGCTTCCGATATGGATATTGCTGTTATTGCTTTGGGAAATGTAAAATTGACGCTACCATCAAGGTATAGATGGAAGTAGGTCTCTTTTCCAATAACACGCAGAAATTCATAAATCTTCGAGAGATGTTCGTGAATTTGGCTGTTGATTTGTGTAACGCGCAGGGTTCCCACGCATTTACCGGATGTATGACTTGTGTATGGTCCTCATAGTTTAATTCATCGCAATTTGGGCGAATGCCACCGAAAAATGTCTGAGTTTCTACAATCCGTTTGATTGAAGTGGATGGAACTATGTGAATTAGAAGTTTAGAATCAAATGAAAGATCTCAGTAGTCAGTATCCTATCGCTATCTCTGTTGGTTATGCTCTCGCGCGCTTATCTCTCACACGCTCGCACTCGCTGGGATTTACTATACCTAAATTTTTTAACTTCTAAGACGTCTGCCACTATTAAAGCTACACTTAATATCGTCTGCCAGGATATATTTTAAAGTAGTGACAAAAAGAGGAATTTTTTATGTATAATTTTTATACGGTCCTCATGGTTTAGTTCAGGGGTGTTTTTCCCTACATTGGAGGGCGTCTTTCGCTACCAACGCTGCACTTGAAATCGTCTGCCATAGCATATTTGAAAACTATGGAAAAAATGGGATTTCTTGATACAAATCTTTTCCGTGACCCTTATAGTTTGGTAATTTAGTTGATCACCTAAAGAAGTCACCTTTTCAGCGCCGCCCCAAGTTAATGCTGCCACTTACGACTGGCAGACGAGTGATTTTATTATTAGTTTTCAACGTACTTTCAGCTTGTATTGTCGAATTTTTTGTCGCTTATGGTTTAGTTACTATGTACGCTGCCTCCCGGTCATTTGAAACGGCAACTTGCTACAATTTAGTTACAGCATACCAGCTTCATTCTGATACAATTTGAAAATAAACGTAGAATTAGATCAGCATAACCATAAATGATACAGGTTTTCATTTCAGAGACCAATATGGTAACGGTTTGTTCCTTTGGGGTACATGCCATAATACTGATTTTAGGTATTGTCGTCTTCAAAAATGTAAAAAAATTCAAGGTAAGAGAATAGGTCCAGTTACAATGTAAAAATAAACTAATTTAGGAAACTAACATCTCGTCCAAAAACATTTCCACTGTTGTAGCTGCAATTGGAATACTAACGATCACAGCATCTTTACCAGTACTACTCGCATTACTAATTATTGGCGCAATATGTCGTGTTGCAGTGTACTTCATCTTGAAAATTAAACATGGCCGCCAATACATTGGATTGGTTAGTGGTGCAGATGCGGTGCATACAATCGACTCACCTACGAACAGCAAAACGTGCGTATTGGGGATATTTGAACACGACTACTCCAAATCTGCAAGAAGCGTTGTTGATGCAGTTAGGGATCATTTTGATTGCACTTTGAGACATATGGAAAAATTTCAAGCCACTTATCACAATTTCATGGGTTACACCTACATGGTACGCACCACTGTGGATGCGGGTGAGTGTATTCGGGAAATAGAACCACAGGAGGAGATTGATGACGAGGATTTGGTAAAACTGCTCAGCGATACGTACAACTCCGACTTTCCCAGAGGGAACACGATATTCTGGGACATTTGGATCAGTGCGCGTCCTATCAGATTGAGAGAAATCAGTGGCACGCAAAAAAACTACCATCTCTCAATGTTCAGAATTCATCACTGCGTCGCCGATGGTGTTGCTGTATTCAAGCTCGTAGTTGGTGTTCTTTCCCGTCCAGTTGAAGGTATCAGTAAACTTGGTTACCCAAAGAAACCGCCGGAAAACAATTTCATGAGCGTGGCTAAGAAGTGTGTCGAAAGCTTAAAAGTGGCGCTGTTTGCTCCATCTTCAATACTCGTCAATTTACTCGTACGAGGTACCGATCAGAACTTTTTGCATGATGGGCGTTTAAATGGAGAGTCACACTTAATTTTTCGTGTAGAACAAGATGATGTGTACTTTCAGAAGGTGAAGGCAATCAAGCGTAGACTGCCTGGGGCGAGTTTTCCTGACATTATTTTGACTGCGTTATCTGCAAGTCTTTCCGACTTCTACTATGAGGTAAGTACATCTTGCAGTATTTTTATTCACAAATTTATTCCTTTGACACAATTAAATTTGGTTGTCAAAAATTACGGAACACTCTCGAGTTTCGACATATCATATTTCATAGAAAGATTGAGTCAGATCCGATTTTTTCCTTATCACCGGGGACTAATTTTTTATCAACCACAACCTGATGGTGGCGCGACACCGTCCTAGAACACCGACCCCTCTTAAAACTGTGTCTCTCATAACCGACGACGGAGAGCATTTTTTGAGTTACGCTCGTTTCATCATGTTATTTCTATGGTGGTACTTGCACGATGAGTCCTTCGTGCGTCCTCCAAGCAACTAACTGTCTTACGAAATAGTTGCGGAGTTCTTCGGGAGTTGAAACAACAGAGCAATATTTCCACCGCCAGAATTTTAGTTGTTTTAACTCCTGTGGTACATTTCAACAATTTTTGTAAAGACTTATCACAAGACCGGTTAACAGGATAATAGCTCCTGTAGGAAACACACTTCACCAGCTTCAGGTCTCCAGAGAATCACTAGTAGTAGAAAAAATTGGTATGTACAGCCTTCCTTACGGGAGATGGAAACACCCCAACGTCCAACGTATTGTTGACGATTGGATATATCACATACTCGTTGATATTTGATATTGCGTTAGGCATTTATTTCATGTTTGTACCTTCTCTTGGGTCCGTTTCTGGTTTATTGGTCGATGTGCTGTCAGGGCAATTTTTTCTAATGTGTTCGTTTTTTTAACAGCTATAACATCGTAGGCCTCGTTGTTGTGTCAATTGCTGTTCCATTAGTTTTCAATTATTTCTTCTATACGTTTTTAATTTATTATGGCGTGGACCATAAAAAAGTGTCTATTTTCTACTACCGGGCGTCGATATTAATACACATGCGTCACCAATTGTTATTGGAGACACATTTTAGAAATCTTCAAATCCACCTAAACACATCACGGTTGCGATACCAGTAGTTCCCGGAGCCGCTCAGCTGCAACACTTAAAACCCGGAAGCTTAACCGCCTCCAAAATAAAGTTTTCCAACAACTACGCGCTCGTTTTGCTCAACATGCCGTTGTGCGTAAAAACCTCCATCGTTTCCAGATTGAACTTAATTAAGGAGGAGGTTAAGGCTATAAACAACTCCGTCGATTACCAGGTGAGTTTGCGCATTTGGCAATGTACCACCATTAACGTATTTTGAGGTTAACTATGTTTTCATGCGTGCACTTTCTATGCTACCACGGGCTCTAATACGACTCGTCCTGGGAACGCTTAATTGCACGGCTGCCGTAAGCATCATGCCAGGTTCGTGCAAGGTGACTTGCGGACGCGATGCGCCGATCTACACCGATATCGGCTTTTGGATACCACATCTGAAAAATATGGGTAAGCGTAATTAATTTTTGTACAAAAAAACTAATCGGAGAATATCTGTAGGTGTAGGTTTTTCGGTCTTCACATACGATGACAGGCTTTTCATGGGACTCAGCGTCGATAAAAGTTTACCGATTAGCGTCGATGAAGGAAAAGTTATAATAAATAACGCTTTCTCATATATCGATCTGCTTGAAAAAGAGATTGGAATTCAGTAACTGTCTCTAAATGCTAATATTGTAACACCAGTTTTCATATTAAAATAACGGAAAATATGCAGTGGTTTGTTTTAGACCTTCGCACCATATATATTTTCGTTCAATTTATGTTACGAGTTTATAACCCCCCTGAAAATCGATACGTTGCCTGAATTATACATTCAAATCAATAAATACTGTCAAATGTAGGTATTACAGCGTCTGTGTTATTTATGATGCAAACGTTATAGGGTAAAGTTTAATCCTAAAGATAAATTCAATTATAATTTACCCCAAAGTCATACGTGCAAACGATTGTCCAGTGAAACGCAAACGCAATTTAGTTTATTTGAAATACGTAGAATGTAAACATACATATGACTTATCTTGAACCGTTGGTTGGTGTAACTGTGACGTCACATGTCCCATGTTTCAACAAATTACAGAGAAGTATAACGATGTCAAAGGCAACTGCAATTATCTCTTCTAAGCTGACCGATTGGTGTTGAAAATAGTTTTTACACTTCGATCCATCGTTGATGTGTATGGAAAGACACTTGTGAAACAATATTTAGCACCTTTTCCACTAAATATAACTAATTTAAATGCACATGTACATATACTTCAAGCTTCTGTTGCATACCTCACTCGTCTCTCTCTCTCTTCCTTATGTCAAATTGAATGCGCGCACACGTCTCATTTACTCAAATTTTTATATACATGGTATTTCAAAAATATATATTCAGAGACCATCTCAGTGCGTGTACCCCACAATGTTCTTCCACACCTTCGCATCTAGCTTTTTGCGGTATTCCTTTTGTACGTGTACAAACATAGCACAACTGAACACACTTAGTTTCCTAGGTCGAATCGTGTCACAATATAGTATTTAACCTGGATTTCCTAAAGTTTTCTGGATTTTTTTGTACTATTGCAATTGATCGGGCATTGAACCCTTTACTTTTGTCGTCTGCTTTCAATCAAGTTCACGCTCTCGCGATATAATTTATTAATAGCTCACTCCAAAGCCGAACTGAAACTGATTTAATTCGTTTCTTGAAACTTTCGCTTTTGAAATGGAAATTTATTTAAACGGTCACTCGACACTTCTGGTTTATTCGCCGCTAAAGTGCACTCGTAGCGTGATAATTTTTCGACAGTTCTAGCTAGGTACTGTACCAATATTTACTGAACTTCCATGATAATCTTTTCTGAATTGGTCCACGAAATGTCCGGTTAATTTACCTCTACCGACACTGCCACGTTCGGAATATCACCGACTGCGTTAAGCATTTCTTTCGTAATGTTTATTTACTGACCAAACATACACTTCCTTACCACTAATGCGGTTTTTTTTAGTACAGTTATTAAAAAATGCGTCACGTACAACGTACTGAATATTCCCATTGACGACTTCACGTTTAGTATCAGAAAAAACTTTATTCCCAACCACTCACTTGACGCTCTGGTGGCCCCAAACCGAATGCCCTATCGCTAGTCTCCGGAGCACTCCCATTCTTTTTTAATTTGCTTACAAAATGGTGATAATAGGTTAAATTGGCCATCTTTGACATGACATCACTACAAGTAATTCTAATTCAGCTGTCAAAGCCCATTAAGTTCGCGTTATCGCCCGTCAGACTGGCGTCGATAACCTTTCTCAGACAATTAACCGGTCATGACGCATCCGGTCGCAAGTAATTCACAAAATATAGATCCCCAATTTAAAATAACAAATTGCTGGATTAATCAGCCCCCTCATAACGTTCAGTACCCTAAAACTGGCCTACCCTAATAAAATTTAATACGTAACTCTAAAAAAATTTGAAAGAAAGCTTCCAATACAAATTCTAAGGATGGCACTCGTTTCGTCCTTCCTGTTAGCTCATCACAAACTCCAGTTTACATTTACTGGCATTGACCGCTCCACGCCCAGGCGAATGCTGGCATTATCGACGGTTCGGCGTCCGATTGTACGAATCTTTTTCCGTGCAAGACTGCCGGTCTGGAAAACTAATTTCTTTATGGCCATCCACGGCAGTGTGCGACGACAGTAAAAACATTGGTCGCCTACTCGTTAAAGGCGCTAAATCCAACACCCAATTCTTAGTGGAAAGAGGAGCCGACGTGTCCATTTTTCCTGTCTTCAGCTCGCGACGTCGCAAGATCCAGATAAGTATAAACTTTTTGCTGCAACTTAACAAGTACAAGTATGTGACTACACCGCGAATGCTCAAAGATAAAGTCTGTTTCTTTGCTGAAATCAACAGGATCGTCGGAATCAAACATCTCCGCAACTACCGCATATCATCCCCAGGCGAACGATAAAGTAGGTCGGACGCTAAAATCTGCCTGGATGGCAACCAAGAAAATATAGCCTTGTAATTTTATTCTACCTCACAATCATACTGTTGAACTTAAAATATTTGCAACAAGACCGTAAATATACGTCAATAATATAAAGAAAACGTTTATTTTAAATTACAACAAAAATTGAAAGTTTTTTGAAAAAGATTCTGGTTGGGCTCTATATGAGGTTTTACATTTAAAAGTAAATATAAACACTTCCGTTACTATTAGAGGTAGATGTTCAACAGATCTTTAGAAACATGCCATCTACTGTAATTAAATAAATGAGTGTGCTGAAATCAGAAAAGCAGAAAAGTATTTACAGTTTCAAAATTTTTGTTTTTAGGCAAGAGTACCATTGGAATTTCTGCGGATTTAGAAAGCATTTTATAAAAGTAGGCAACGTAACTTGTCCCGAAAATAACATACATATATTTCATTCTAAACATGTTCTTTATCAGGATTTAGGTGCTATAGGGGCAATGCGGTTCATTAAGGAACTTCGTAGCATTGCACAGTGGACTAATAAATACATTATTAACATAATTCTTAAGAACATTTTATGTGCTAGTCAGTCTCAACATTTTTTTAATGCGAAAATTGTCACATTTGTTTGAAACAATTTACCGAGTTTGACAAGGTTAGAGATCATAACCACGTTACAGGTTAATATTGTGGCTCATCGCATTCGCAGTGTAATCTAAACTACACCAATTCTCTTATGATACCTGTTGTTTTTCGTAACTTGTCAGGTTACATACAGAGCCGTACCTGGACCGGACTAAATCTTGAAATGTAGGTCCAGGTCAAGTTCAAATGTCATTTGCTACTTGGTGGTGATTTTGGAAAGTAGGTTAAGGTAAAGTTTATCAAACATGCCCCCTCCCTCCCGCTCTTCTCTGGTAGTGACCGTGGAAAGCGTGTGACCATGGAAAGTAGCGCAAGGTGAAGCTCAAAGGTCTCTCGACCCCACAGATCAGTCTATTTTTCATGGGAACGCAAATCAAAACCTGAACGCGAACCCAAATGTCAAGGTTCAATGGTAGTTAACGTCTGGATTCAATTCGCGTTCACGTTTGGGTGCAATCAGTGTTCACGTAATGGGGTCATATTTTATTTTTCAGGTCAACTGGCAGCCTGTAAAATCAGTGGTGTCAGATTTCTGCTAACGACGTCCGATAATGACACATATTAGTGCCTGAGAGCTATGAAATATAGAAAGAAGTTTTAAACCATCATCCTAGTGGTGTCATTTTTACTCTTCAAGTTGGCATTGATTGATGATTTTGCAAATAAAATGTGACACCACCAAAAGTTGAATCATTGATTTCTGATGACCATGTTAATGACATGAAAAATTGGGATCATCGACATTTGATAGCCTTGAGAACGAAATCCCCATTGCAAATTGGTCCATTGACCTTTGTTGATCTTGAAAGTGAAATGACACCACAATTATTGACCTCCTTTTAGCGTTACCTTGACCGACTTTCCAAGGTTACGTACCGATACTAGAGGAGAACGGGGGGGAATGCCCTCTGAGCTTCATCTTAACACACTTTCCAAGGTCACCGGCACGTGGTAGGTTCAGGTACAGTTCTGCATCAGTGGCGTGCTACACAAAAATCCCTTAAAAATTGCGAAAACTCGAGTCCCATAATAACACGGTTCCAAATCTAGAGAGTAGTCCTCGAAGTCGCCTTCTGGCACTACCATGTATATTGTCTAAAATCATTACAATTGAGAAGTAAGTTTCATAACCAGTTAGCAGTCATAATACAAGTTAATCTCTTGTTGATCCACAAACACCCCTACACCTCCAAACTCAAGAGCTGGGGTTGTGGCTGACTTGCTGTTGTTTAGTCGTCTCATACAGGAGTAAGTGTTAGAAGAAGAACACTCAATACAGATTGTAAAAAAATTTTTTAAATTACAAGGCTATAAGCAAAGAGTATCCATAATAAGAGATACAGCGCAATGGTATAAACGCGTGTTGGCTATAAGACCTCGCCCGCTAGGATTCCAAAAGCGGGCCCTCGCGTAGAGGTGGCCAGAACTAACCGCCTCTTTAAATATTGGCGCGTATTGAAAATTTACAGAATTCTTTACAGAATTTCGGTTTAAAATATTTGCGCGGTTGTCACATTTAATTTTCTTTCTTATTGGCTGTATAAAATGTGGACATGATATAATTAGAAAACATTACTTAAGTATAAAAGAAATCAGCAACGATTCAGTACCTATTGTTAATTACATTGGTATTTTCCTGTTTAGTTGGCGTCTATTGAATAGACAGTAATTACTATTTAATTGAATAACCAATAACAGGTACAATTGTAAAAATGTAAATTAAATTTGATATTATCCATCCTTTTTAGATCGTCTCCTACAATCAAATTAAAGTGGACAATATATTTCATAAAATGCACTAGCAAATTGGATTTTATGATGAGCATAGCGATTATTTTACAGGAAATTTTGTTTGCTTTATTTTTGTATAGATGCCTACATACGCTGAGTTGTTTAATCATTAACAATCAATCATTACAATGCAATAATCCTTATGTCCTCAGAAAAAAAAACATCAGTCTAATCCAATAATCAGTCAAACTATATAGTGCAGTTAAATAATAAATTAATAAATCTGCACCCGTCGAATAAATTTAATTAAATATTTACACGTTATTCTCATTTAAACAATTTAATTAAAAAAATACTCTCGACCCGCATTTTAAGCTGCAGCACTAGCGCGCATCGGTCTCCTAGCAACTAAGCTTCGTACACATGTTTTTCAGTCACCATTGGCTAGCGGAAAAAACACAAGTATATGTATTTAAATTTGCCGCTCAACTTAAGCCACCGCGCATTCTGCTATAGTGATTCATCCATCTAAACGATTGATAATGCAGTGTATGTTCTTATTTTTGAAAACAACATTTTCTTCCACTCCAAATAGTATAGGGTTTCTGGAGCGTTTAAATATCTCCGGAATGCGTGGGTCGATCGGAGTGAAATGTAATGAGATTAAAGGGGACATTAGTCACATCGACTGGTAAAAATATGGTCCAAATCGGCCAAGTAGTTTTTCAGTTATCGCAAAGAAACTATTTTAAAAGAGGTGGGGTTGCGTTGGTCCACAGATCTCATTTTTAACTGATTTTGAACCATTCGATCACAACTATAATCCAATGGAGGCAGTTTATTTTGTTTTTATTATATTGTTTGGCCGGCAAAAATTAAAAAATGAAACATTTTTTCCGGGAATCTTTTATTCTCTTATTATTTGTACTTGTACAATAAATACTATAAAACGTCTATTGGCCTATTTTTTTTTTCAAAAAATTTTCGTTTATTTCCTCGCAAATCGGAAGTAAATATCGTTCGTTAGACTACTTCCTCTAACTAAACGATCTAGTTCGGTCGACTTTTCCACACGTCGGTAGGACGACGGACAGTGTGTACAAAGGGCAGAGACGTAATCAACGCGAGCTTAGGTATTACTCGCGCTTACTGGGATACACAGTAAAAAATCTATTATTTCCCGCTCAAAAAATGGCTTATTGTTACACGAAGAACATATCTTCGCACCTATGAATCAAACCAACAAGCGTTCGGACCTTAATAAATTGTGCCATAATCGTAGAATGGAATTACATATCTTTAAACATCATACATTTCAAGGAATAATAGATACCTAAATAAGTGCAAGCAAACACTAAAAATTTGGCAACGCTGGGATTTCTGCAATGATATTTATAAACTTCTAAACAATAGGCCAGTAAATGACCGTTTTGCCGTGTAATTTTTCGCGCCTCGACGGATTTGCTTCAACATTTGGATTTAGGTTCCTCTTACCCTCTACTTCAAAGGTGAACTTGAGCCCAGGGTTGCTTTTACTTGGGGGGTGAATGCCACCCCTTCTCGGGGAGGAAAAAAGAGACGTTCAAAATAAGTCCGGAAATTGATAAATTGAGTAATTCTAAGCAACTTTTGTTCTATAGAGTTTTTTCACTAAGTTAATAGTATTCGAGTTAATTGCGAGGAAAATGTTCATTTTTCAACAAAAAAACTACGTTTTCAGACGGTTTTTCGCAAATAACTCTAAAAGTAAGTATTGTATCGACAAAGTATTCTTAGCAAAAATTTAGCTTATAAACAGACAAACAAAATGGCCTATATATGAAGTCTGTAGACCCAGTAGAAGCAAAGTTGTAGCTCATGAAAAGTAGGTTCTCATTCGTCAAATTCCAAATCGAGTACTTCAACATGAAATAACTAAAAAATGATGCACTTTTCGGGGAAAAGTTATGAATACTTTTTTAAAGTGTTTGAAAAAACCTTTCTTTTTGTTTTTAAGAAAAGTTCCTAGCATCAAAACTAAGTGAGCTACGCTCAAAATAAAGTTGGTCCTTTTTTTTTGGTAAAAATAATTGAGGAAATCACCCCCTAATTAGCACCCCAATTGTAATTAAGCGTTACCGCTTTACAGTTTACTTTATTTATGTATTGTTTATATGATCTGTAAGTTTGACCGGTGCAAAGTGCTTATTTTTGAAAAAATATAGTTTTGAAGTAAAAAAAAATTTTTTAATTTTGAAAAATTGTCATTTTTTTCCAAATAACTATTAGTGTATTAGTTTAGTTAGTGAAAAATTGCCCACTGTAGTAAACTAAACTAATACACTAATAGTTATTTGGAAAAAAAAGACTTCAACATTTTTTTATCAATTTCCGGACTTATTTTGAACGTATCTTTTTTCCTCCCCGAGAAGGGGTGGCATTCACCCCCCAAGTAAAAGCAACCCTGGGCTCAAGTTCACCTTTGAAGTAGAGGGTAAGAGGAACCTAAATCCAAATTTTCATGCGATTCGGTGGAGACGCGGAAAATTACACAGTATCGCCGTATTCCACGTTCATTTACTGGCCTACAAGTAGTTGCCTTGAAATAGCCCCTTAGGCGTAGCGTACGCCAATAAAATTGAGAAAAAGCACTAAAATTTGTTAGGCAACACACAATACACATGCAACACTATTCTCTATACCGTTGGATCTCTTATTATAGTTACTCTTTGCTATAAGTCATTGGCGTATACAGGGTATTCGTAAGTTCGGGTCCATGGCCAATGGGGGCTTAATTCTGAGACAAAACCTTATTGCACTAATGCGATCACACAAATACTTTTCAAGATACGAGGATCCATGCCAACTTCCATATCGCTACACTGGAGGAGGAGTAATGTGGCGACGCGCCGCATGCTCATCCGGCATCAAACTAAAACGTGCTGCATCCTCACTGGTGAAGACGGCCGACCGATGATTTTGGTCGGAAAATGGTTTTGGTTGGAAAATTTTGGTTGCTCCACCTGCACGCTTGTTTAGATTTTTCAATGTAGCTGTAGGATATGCTATACAATGATGTTAACTCTGGATACAATACAAAAATATTGTAACGTAGCGGAAATAGAATTTTATTAAAGACCTTATCAATATACCTACATTTCATAACACATAACCTTATGATTAGATTGTACTGTGAAAACGGGCAAACTGAAATTTGCCTCACGTCGCTATATTACTGCAAGGTTGTTGCACGTAGTCTAAACAGAAGCCTCTATTTCCGATGTCCGTTGGACTTTCCACATTGTCTGTATGGAACCAAATTCGAAAAGGTTTGACGTTACCTAAAGAAATAGTTAGAGAAATTGCAGAGATGTCAGCATTTACTTCTAAGTGTAGATGACAGCATCGCGTTGGTTTCCGTACTTAAGGTTCCCCCGCAGAACCTATCGGCTGTAATAGCGGTCGTTCCCGCCGGTCGGCCAACGTTCTGTGCCATGGGTATTATGATGAAATCTGCCTGGCAGGTGCTTGTCATTGCCTGGACGACGTTGGTACTGATGCCTGCCAGAGTGAACGATTGGGAGCGATTATTAACTGAAACGTAGTTGTTATTCCAGACCAAACCTCATTGACTATGTAAACCTGTATCAGGGCATGCCGTGTACTGTATTGAGCAGAAATTCCTTTCAGCGCGAATGCATATGCTATAGTCTTGGTTTGAGAGCTGCAGACCAGTGGCAAGGTCATAGTTGAACGACTTGATCTGTCCGGAAACTCCGTTGTAGTATTGCAAACAACCCATCTCTCCTAAAAGTTTCGAGGTGTTTATTTACGCACCTTGCACAAACTGAGACCAACCCCGGTTCCTCGAAGTGCATGGTATCTGCGAAATCCGCATCTTCCACGTCCTCATAAACGAAGGTCCGCTAGTCACCACAGATAGAATGATTGGAGCAGTATTGCCTTCGCCAGAATCGATGTACACTGTCAAAAGTAAAATCAGTTAATCTTCACTAAGCATTTCCCAACTCACTATGGTTGTCAGAATTTTTCCCACAAATTGGAGGCACATTACTCGCTCCCGATACCATAAACTGGTCGTTGTTACAGATGTTGTTCACGTTTTCCGGACCGGCTAGTACAAACTTGTCGAAGTCCACCCTAAAATAAGTTTAGTACTTAACACTTGCGACAAAGTGGTACTACCTGTACTGGCATATCTTTGGAGAAGATTTGACTAATGTGATTTGGCACGAGCCGGTACCATCATAATTTTGAGGGAATCCTTGGTTGACGAAGTAAGTACCGTTTTCACGAACTGTCGCCCCACAAGTGACTAGAACTGAAATTTGGTAAACAGTAAAGTTATCGGGAGTTACTTTTGGCAGACCTACAGACACAGCAGTAAGCGAACCCCCCCGCACATCCACCATTTGGTTTGCCACCACGTTTTTGGCACTCTTTTTGAGTTAGGCAGGTGCCCCTTTCACCTGTAACTCCAACGCATGCTAGGTTGTCAATGTTCATCACGGTGAAGAGGTTAAGAACTGGAAAAGGAAATGTTTATTAAAAATGTGTGTGCGGACAGTCCGGAAATAATAAATAAGTTTCCATTAATAATTCGGGTCGCACTTAATTATTAATTATAATTTAGCATTATAAAATTTAAAAAATCTGTTGATCAAAACCAGTTTCTCTTAGTATCTATAATAATAGGATAATAATGTTATAATGATAGTATAATTCCTTTGCACAATTTACAATATTGTATACGACGCGTCATGGTAAGTAAATAACAAACAATTGATAGGACAATAAACTTTGACAAAAATTAATAATAAATACCTAAAGTAGCAGGCAGTCCAACAAATTACTTTTCATGCAGGATTAAAAAAATTCGGCGATGTAGTGAAAATAATTTGCCTTCAAATTCAAACGCTTCCATTTGAAATTATTTAAGATATTTTGAGTTAAAAAACAGTTTTTTTAATACAGGGTGTTTGAGTGCGATCGCCATCTTGAGTTTTTTTAAATGACAAAAATTTGAAAAACTTTACCGTACATTTAGATAGGTACCTTATTAACAGAACGTCAAAAATAAACAATGAAACTACGAGCAGGTGTTTAATGTCACAGTACATTTATGATTTGTTTCCTTACAAACATTGTATTACGTGAGAAATAAATCTTAATTTTGTGAAATATGGATCATTTAACACACTTATTTCTCCAATATTTTCTAATTTAACACGTACCATTCATGATTAAGAAAGAGAAAAAAAATAAGCTTTCTAATTACGTATCACATGATCCATGTTACCATCAAAAAAATTCAAGATGGCGGTCGCACTCAAACACCACGTATAAAAAAAATTGTTTTTAACCTCAAAATATATATGTCATATCAAATGGAAGAGTTTTAATAGTACAGGGTGTTATAATTTCACCCTACACCTTTAATTTACAAACATATGCAAACACAAGTTTCAAACGCCCACTAGACCATTAAAAAAATTACTTTCAATATATATTACCTTATATTTAGGAACATCCTGTATATTAGCATACTAGGTAATGTCAATATTTGATATTTCTTAAAAATTGGTCTGCATGATGTACAGTTAACGGCTGAAATTTACCTGATAAATATTCATTTCCGATCCACCGTTCACTGAATTTATTTTCTGAATGAAGGAATGTGTGGTTCCATTTGCCCATTTCATGTACCTCATTCTAATTTACTAACTGGGAATTTTATTTCAGCTGGGCTATTAGGATAATGCGTTTCGTTGGTAAATAGTTAAATATTCCCGTTATATTTTCTTTGTTCTGTATTCCTTAAGGCGAGAAAAGTCAAGGTATCCTAAGATTGTATTGCCAACTGAAAGGCTGTGTAAACATGTCTTAAGAAGTGTACCTCCCAACACTATTTGTATGGGTGTCAACATATAGTGTATGAATGTACCCCACACCCCACCTCACCCTTCTCTCACATTCTTAATCATAGTTTCTTGCAAGTCTGTGTCGTCTGTGAAATTGAGACTTCAGGTTATCGGAAAAGCCTCCTGAGTGATACGGACTGATGATGCCAATAAAGACGCATTTTGTGTTTTTTTAATGGTAGAAGGAATGAGATGTGAAATCATACCTCATCGGCATATGAATTGTTTGCTATCGACTTAAGCGACGCAATTTAATTTCGTTTTCCAAAAACAATATTACAAAAAAGAAGCGGCACCGGAATTGATGAACTCTTGTCTCCGAAATCATTAATCCATTATCAACAAGGACAAATCTTGACCTAGGAAAATCTGAAGTCGTATAAAGTCATTAAGGAAATCTCTTCAATCTACGCGGACCACTGTAAACTCTTCAAATACTACGAATACGAGCCTTGACCTAGGGAAATTCACAATCAAACTGACTTCTATGGAGTGCGATGCTACCTCAGGGTAAGACGGAGTAGAAGGTATTGTAAATTTGGCAATCCTATTATCTTTAAAATGTCGTGAATTAGGTATCCGAAAGGGATCATAACCATTTCAGTTTGTTGTCAAATACCTCAATTTGTTTTATTGGAATGAATTCTTCGCGAATTTTCTATGATGTGGGATCCAATCAATCGAATTAGATTTTATAGGTCAAAGGTCACATAAAAATCTGTTTTTGTTAGTTTATGTTAGTATATTTTGTCATGGCGGAACTGAAAAATCTGAGGTGCAGTACATTTTTATAAGACTAAGAGGTTATGTTAACTTCTTCGCCTAATAAATAGAAATATTCTGGGTTTAACGTATATATTAACAGTTAATGTAATAAAAGTGGTATAATAAGTATAATATGCAATATAATATACACTAAATAAACGACACTTCTTTGTCACATGTGGATACACTTCAATAAAACCACTTTTGGAAGCGCATACAATCTAAACTTGAATGCCTTGGGGATAGAGAACGTTACATTTTGCATCTGGAAAAGATCGAATTTTCCATATCGACCACCTGGAGGGGAAACCCCGGCACCTCCTGCATGATCCATATATCAATTCTTTTGCATCGTCCTTTTGCCCTTATCATTCGAAAGGGGAAGGGACATCTTTCGCATCTTCTATAGACCGCCTCTTTGTTAGCGACCGCCGATTAACTTCGAACGCCTCCTCCGTATCATGGGCCGGTGACTAGCATAGAGTGCCCTTATCATTCGAAAGGAAAAGGGACATCTTTCGCATGTTTCATAGACCGTCTCCGCCTATCAACTATCGATTCGTTGTTTCGATGGGTTTGAAACGAAAAATTCGACAATCTTCAGAATTACGTAAATCTTGTAAGTATTTGAAACTTGAAAATTGCTGCCCATCTGTAAATAATGTACACATAGGTATGTAAAACATGTAGAGAACTACTATGGTATAATTAGAAACACATGGGTAGTTGTACATTATTTTTTAACGTTTATTAACTCGGTGAAAATTAACATAACCTCTTAAAAATTGTTGGAATGTTACGCACTCTTACCACCATAAAAGTAATCATGAAATTTGGAGTAATATAAAATATAAATTTAGGGTTTCTCCCGCAATTTTTTTTGTTTTGTTTTGTCTAGCCATTTTTATTAATTTCATGATTGTACCTGGGGGCTTATTAACGTCATGTAACCGATAACCGGATTTTTGTGATCTCGAATCGGTTTTGGTAGATATACTTCTTTGTCTTATATTGGGGGCTATAAATTGAATTTCAAGTTAACGCATATACGTAATACGGCCATTTTCCCCATTTTCAAGTAATAATTTTACAACTACGTTTACTCAAGAGTTCACGTGTTAATTACCTGGCCAATTGCACTTTGACCTGTTCGGCGTTTTGTCAATTCGGGAAATGCAACCGTGTGTACAAAGTCGACACCTTATCTGAAATAACTGCAACAAACAGCGCTTGGAGCAAAGATAACAAAATTGGGTCAATGGGTCACTCAAGTTAACGTTTTTTTCCTTGTAAACGTATTCGATCATGGATCTAGATACAAGTATTGGATTTTAATTACCTAGATTTTCAGGTAAAACAAAGTAATAAACGTAAGCGAAACAGGCGGTATCTTTAATTTAAATAAGCGGTGTCCTTAAATTACGATCCTAGTTACGTATGTTTAATCTAAAAAAGTCGTTTACTTATCATAGCTATGTGGTTTACGTAATTGTCTGAAGTTTTTAGTCTTTAATTCCTTTACGATCATATTTGTGTCATTCTTTAGTAATTATGTTTTAAGCTAAATTAAGGTAATTACGCTTACAATCTAGTCAACCATTTCGCGGCGATTAAGTGATTTGGCTGTAATTTATATTGCATTTTAATCTCCCCAAAAAATGTTGTCACTTTATTACTCAAACCTAATCCCTGGAATTAGTGTAATGGTGCTTAACGAAACGTGGACGTAATTTCATCGAAATGATGGTATTCAAATTTACTACAGAATGTAAAAAGTGCGACATTGACCTACTTTTGGCTTTAATACTACCTAGTTCTGTAGAAGAATTAAGAATCACAATTCATCCTAGTCTTTGTTAAACGTTGTGGAGAAAGCAAAACAAGGACCGAAACTTGGAAATTGGATCAGATTAACGCCTCTTTGATTTAGGGGTGTAGTGGAGCGAGAACGCGGTTCCCCCGCTGCTTTTCCTAAAAATATATACGAAGGTTTTCCGTAAAATTAAGGTCTCCAATGATACAATTACCGATTCTGAAATCTTTGACTTTTAGCTATTCTTTAACGTAGTCCCCGTCACAATCAATTATCTTTTGGGTTCCGAAAGATTTTTCATACCCCCATCGTACCACTCTCCCACCGACCTGCTCAGGAAGGAAGAGACAGCTGCCTTCAGTTCCTCGCCGTTTGATGATTTCATTCCCCCCAAGTGTTGTTTCAGGTTGGCGAAGGTCAATGATTTCCCACTCGAATTTGGCGCTGAGATTCATCATGGTGTGGACTATGTGAGGGCGGACGTTGTCATGGTGCAAGCGAACTCCCTTTGTCAGCTCCGGTCTCAGAATACCGAAACCATCACCCTCCCCGCTGACGGCGTTTCTCTTGATATTTGGAGAACGGTAATGTAATGCAATTTCCTCATTCTCTTCGGCGCAGAAACTCGCGACCACTTTCGATGCGCTTCTTTTTGTGTTCATCAGGGAGCATATGCGTCAACCACCCCTACGGTAGTCCAAGAGCCGTCCCCTATCTATTCGGCAATCTCTCGCACAGTCACACGCCGATCTGCAAGTGAGCGGTTCCTCAGTTTTCGTCATTGCCTCATCTGAAACTAAGGGATGCCCGCTGCCAGCCTCGGCGTACATGTTTATACGGCCTTTTTGCGAACTCCCTGTCCGCTTACGCACATTTTTTTTATGACCATACACATGCGTGAAGATCCTTTTAATTTGGTCAAGTTTTTAACCCTCAAGACAATTTAAGGTTGCTACTGTATTCGCAAGGTAAAAGCAATTTTAGTTCGATATTTGTATTGCTGTGAGTAGGGAAAATTTTAAAATGA